TGGGACCTGAAAGGTATTTGTGTACACAATGTCTTTGTGCAAGTATGTGCTCATGTCACATCAGCGTCAGCAGTGCACACCCACCCTCAGAGTCTCTGTGGTGGTGATACGGATTTGAAAAGGCAACATAATAAAATGATATTTAATGCAGCAACACCTCAGTAAACCGCTCAGTTCACTCATAGGAGAATTAGTGCAGTCAAAATGTGCGTGTGCAAGACAATGGCATTATTGATCTGTGCATGCCGTAGCTTGACCTCTACCTCCAGACCACATTAATGGTTTTATCACCATCTGAATGAGTGATGAGTGCGTAGAAAGCCAAACGTGAAGTTAAGCTACATCATTCCTGCATAAGACGCACTTGAAGTAATGAAATAACACAAATGAATGTACATTTGTCCAGTGCTTCACAAAGTTGGTGACAATTTGTCCGTCTTCATTCTTATCTATATTATGGAATGTAATTTTGGTGGCTACACAGAGATGATGTGTTTTTCCATTAATTACCCACGCACAGAATAGATTGGAGTCAATAAAACAATTGGATGACTCTGATTACAACTGCACAGCAAGAAATTCACCCTAATTAATTAAAAAAAAGCGACAACTAATTATTTGCCTACTATTCATGGTGGCATTAATGTCATATGAATATTGCATACAGCACTAAAGAGCGCTTGGCATTTTCTCTTTTTTTGCAGAATTGAAAAAGAAAAATCACTAATACAGTATCATTTCTTACTGAAAGGGTTGTACATTATATAGCTTTATATAAAGTTGATATTGTGTGTTAAAATATCTTCTTCAAAGTAAGACATTTTGAATAAAAACCACGAAGAACCTCTTACATCTGCGTTGGTATTTGCTATCCTGTCGGTTGTTGGAGGGGAGCGGGGTAGAAAGAGAGCAATCAAAATGTAATCAACAACCTGTTGTATTGTCTGTAATTTGTTGGTGTTGTTATAAAAATAAGTGATACAGAAGTTCTTGCTACCAATATTGCAGCAGGTCTGATTGTTGATTGTGCTTTCTGAAGTGCTGTGCAGGCCATCAAGTGTGAAGGGCCAGTTGTATTATTCTCTGATTGTTGTCATGTTGTGCTCTCTCCATTCTGGGCCATTTCGAGGTGAACAGTTGGTCTCGTCCTCTGTAAGCCTGCTGAGAGAAAGGACCTCACTATGGATGGGTGCAGGTTTATATCTATTCTTCTGAAAATACTGTGTGCCTTCCACAATGTGCTGAGGTTCACATATTGCTAGAAAACACATCCCATCCAATGAATGAACCAGTAAACCTTAAGACTCGGTTTACAAGTGGTGCCTACTGTGCTGAAGCTGCCGTTAACCTATGTGGACCATGGCTTGAACTCATGAAACATAGCGGGGGACTACTTTATGGTCTCTTGGCGCTGTCCGTGGTGCTGATCGGACAGCATCCAAAGGAAATCCAGCAGGTTTCCGTTTATCAAAATATTTTTAATCGTGAGTTGCAAATATAACCTTTTATAATAAGGTGAAATCAACCACTCTTACATTTTCAAGTTTCACGCAACATAAAACCCCAACTGCAAAATCCAAGCTCAATACTGAACTGAATTCAGCTAAAAGTCAAATATTGAAACTAGTTGAAATGTTTGGCAGAGATAATGATGCTGCTGAAGCGAGGGGTGTGGTTAAACAGTTCCTCAGTGCGCATCAGGTATCCATCCCACACTATATAACCCTGTGAACCGGGAGGACCGCAGCAAGACAGGCGCACCACCGGAGTGACTACACCAGGAGACAACTGTCAAAAAGTAAGTTATCTTACTTCTCTGTTACTTTAGTTTAATGCATCTGAATTTTGAACCGCACTATAGAAAGATGTTTGCGTGTAATTTACCATTAAATTGATGTGAATTATTGTATTTTCATATGATATTAGAAATACTTTAACGGCACTTTAAAACGGGTGGAATGCAACAGAACCTTAAACACTACAAACATAATATTTCGACTTCAACAAAAGTTTTACAGGAAACAAAAAATTTCAAGATTCAGTGTAATCCAAACCATGGTCTTCCTCCTTCTCCTCAGATGGCCAACATGCTGAGATCGTGGATGATGCTTGCGGCGCTCGTCGTCTGCCTGCTGGTGTGTTTGAGCAGCTTCGCGGACGCCTACCCTCCCAAACCGGAGAGCCCGGGGAGCAACGCCTCACCGGAGGACTGGGCCAAATACCACGCAGCTGTCAGGCATTATGTCAACCTCATCACCAGACAGAGGTGAGTCAGGTTTACCAAAACTAATTTCAAAACGGGACATTTTTTAAAAATGGAGTTTTATGTTTTTTAACCAGCAGGAAATTCCTCCAGTAGATTCCTGCAGCAGTGGTGGAGGAAGTGTTCAGACTCTTTACTTCAGTTAAAGTATTAATACCACACTGCAAAAATACTCTGTTACAAGTAAATCTGAGGAATCTTATAAGCTTTTTGAATGTTTTGTATGCAAAAATATTACTTAAAGCAACTAATTAAAGTTCTCAGATAAATACAGTGGAGTAAAAAGTACTATAATAGTAATATTTCCCTCTGAGTAAAGTAGATGTAGAAAGTGGCATGAAAAGAAAATACTCAAGTAAAGTTCCTCAAATTTGTACTTAAGTGCTTCAGTAAATGTTGTTAGTTACATTTGACCACATTTGTCAGACTTTATTTAACACCGTTTTAAAGTTTTGTTAATCACAAACCCTGAAACACATCAGGTTTGTGATTATAATTAACCCTTCAATCCACATCTATATCACCGGGAAACACGGGAAAGAATGACTAATAGCTGAAAAACCTGCAGTGATTTGGTATCTTTTCGTCATCTGGCTGGGTCAGACAGGTAGTCCACCCCCCTCGATGTGAGGGATTAAGTCTCAAGCTCAAGGACAGGTTAGCAAGGATAGCCACATGGGGGATCGAGCCCTCACAGCTGTGGCGTGGCTTTACTTATATAAGGCCTGTTTTCCACCCAACATTAAGACTTTTCAGATGCTCCTTTGGCAAGTCAAGGAGGACTCCTTATGCTTACATTGGAATGCACTGATGTGCTTCAGTGACAGGAGTCTGGTTTTTCTCAGATAGGTATGTGAAGATCAGACCAGATAGAAGCCTCTAAAGGCTCCGCTGTGGCCCCAAATCATGTAACAGACGTACTGCGACACCAGACGTCCTAATACTTTCCTGTTGCTTCTTACTGGGCATGGTTGAAAGGCACACAGAATCTTTTTTTGTTTTAAACCTGTAAAAAATGTTCTTGATTTTTTCACTGTTTGCTTATCTTAGTTACTTACTTACTTGTAACAGTTTGGATCAGATACGTAGTAACTGTTATCAAATACATTATCCATGATGTGTGGTCATGATTTCTTGATAAAAGCATGTATAATACCAAGGAAGGAGTCTCATCGTTGGCCCTCCTGGTCTGTAATGAAAGAGGTTGGATCTGTCATTGCACTCAAAGGACTCACTGTGTAGCCCCTCATGCCTCAAACAAAGGCAGGTTTTCTCTTCAGTGGCCAGGACATTGATTTTAGTAAAGACACTTCAAAAGATAAAGTCAGAGGAGCTTGTTGTGTTTGCCTTGCTGGACACTGGGCTCTGAACCTGAAAATAATCCTTTCTCTCAGATAAATACTCGGCTGATGTGTGATTGGACTGCGGAGACCAGACTGAGACGTTTTACTGATAAAAAACTCAACAGGGCATGTGTGCAGCTAACTTAGCCTTGTTCACAGCTTGATCCCAGAGTTGAAATTCATAGCGAGGCTGGCGCGGGTCACACCACCAGAGCACCCAGTGAATCGCTGGCTGAGCGACTGCTGGTGTAAAAGCGAGAGAAGGGACTGACATGAATGAGAATCTCCAACTGATACCGTTTATGTTGGTTGATTTTCTCCAGGTATGGGAAGAGGTCGACCCCTGAGCAGGCGGTGGCGTGGCTGCTGTTTGGGGCCGATTCAAGCCAAGACGCTGAACCACGGTGAGAGAAACAAACAAGAATACGTGTCTGGTTGAATCACTTTGGGCTTGTAAAGGCTGATGCTGACACCAGTAATTTTATACTGAAGTTGACATTTGAAGACGGTGGAAAAGCCCCTGAAATAACTGAGCAAAGGAATAAATAAACTGTGCAAAAAACCAACGCTTCAGGATTTACAAACTGTTTTTTACATGTCAACAAAAAACCCATTAACAGTATGGGAAGGGGGAAGGTCTGACTGCCCCCCACTATTATTTGAGATATGAGAGATAACTGGCTTGTTAAACAAATAAAGGACGAACTTTCAGTTTAATGAGAGAGTACCTAAAATGTAATTATGTTTCATATTCCAATAACACAGCCCTGTCAATATATTGTCAGATTGTTTTATTGCTGTAAGCCTTACAGCAGAAGGATTACATTGCTGTTGTAATTTCACTCTTCAAGTGAATATTAATTAACATTTTATTTCACTGTGGATTTACACAGCTTACTGGTCTTCATCATAATGTCACAATCATATGTTCTGAAAGTTGAGCTGGTAATCTGTCAGCACTGCTGTCCTCCACATATCAGGAGTAAGTGTATATTTTGAATTAATTAACAGGTTTTCTCTCTTCTCTTACAGCTTGGACTATAACGATCAGTGGTAAATCAGCCCAATGTTAACTATTCCCCACACTCCCCCCTAATCCTTCGATTCACCAACAATCAAACAACACTGAGACTGTCAAGAGAAAACCTGCACTGGACTTTGTGACTCTCAAATTTATTTAATGTGCATGCAAATCTCAATCTCAATCTCTCTCCCTCTCTCTCTCTGTCTCTCTCTCTCTGTTTGTTTTCCTCTCTCGGTATATCTATTAGTTATTTGGCCAAATGTGTAAATAATTTGTACCAAAATCAATCACTTTACAGTAAAGAATTGAATGGAATAAAAGTATTAAATAGACACATATACATGCTTTGGTATTTCTTCATTTATTTTTTTGATAAAGCCAACTGCACCTCCTCCTGTGGCCACTAGATGTCTCTATATCACCAGTAAACGTACATTTGCAAGTTAGTCTATTTTTCTTGCTCTTGTACGGGGTCCATATCGACGGCAGCGGACACGCTTCAACTTCACACCGGGGTACCACACCAAAAGACGCATTTGTCATCACAAAACCCTCCCGGGCATCCTTTTTGGAAAACGGGCTCAGTGCTAACACAGCAGCCAATCGGCTTCTTAATCAATGGAGCTAATTGTGAGAGCGCGCGGGCCGTTTTAAGTAAGGTCTGGTTAAAGATAGCAGTGTGTGTGGGCTGTCGCTGGCTTCGGTGTTGTCAAAGTGCCTGCATAGATTAAACTAGACCTGCCTCCGTGCTACAACCACTGCGAGTTGAGACCGGTGGACGTATCTTCAAAACCTCCTGCTGCATCTCAGACCGAAGAGGCATCCGGATAAAGGTGACCGGGCAGGTGAGCTCCAACCTTTTTTTTTTAGCAATGATGTGGTCATTATTGCCGTTTTTCAAGCAAAGCCTTTTCTAAAAGATATAGTCCACCTTCGCCAGTCTCCAGGTGGATATTGGAATACGCAGTTAGAGGCTGTTTAATGTCTCCTGTGAAAGTAAGGGCTCCAGCAGAGATTAAGCCTTATTACCCTTATCAATGGCGTTAAAAACCACCTATTGTTTAACCCCGGGTCGCATTTTCTTCCTCCGACTACGAGGAAACGCACATTCAGCACGAGACAGCTACGCGTTACCTCTTCCCCGGGCTCGCGCGCCGTATATCTGCCTCAATCAATCAACAAGCTAATTTTTTATTAAGCTATCCTAATTGACCTCAGGCTGTGTGCTGCTGTACGGCGGCCACAGATACAAACAACCGTGTTTGACAGCCCAACTGAGGAAATACTTCTTCTAAATGTTGGAAATGAATTCAAATGAGAGTGTTGATAATAACGACTGGATGGACGTCATGCACCTGTTCATTGCTATTGCGCATGCCCACACTTGCGGGGACGACACAGATGTTCGAGCGCGTGTGGACCGGTGTAAGGCAGGTGCTGTGTGTGTGTGTGTGTGTGTGTGTGTGTGTGTGTGGTTTGTAGGGTAAATAAACAATAATAAGACATATCTACTCTAATAAAAAAAAAGCAGTTTTTAATGCAGTATTTTACTAATTCAGTTTGAGAAATAATCAGTTAAATAATCCGAAATTGTAAATTTAGATTTATGATTTCTGCAAAAATGAAATGAAACTAAATAGTTTTCATGCTTTCAGCCATTAGGTATGTTTTGTATTTTCTTTTCTATATTCTCACCTTCTTTGAAGAAGGTGGGAGCCCCCTTCGTCATTTTCCTCCTATAGTTTAAGACATTACATTTAACAAGACGATGAGAAATAAATCAACAGTTTCTACACTTACAGCTACAGAAGCAAACGTGAAAATTAAATGAATGAATGAATAAAAAAGCCTGCCTTTCATCCCTTGCAAGTTATATACAGTTGTCCTATATTTAAGCATGACCCAGTTCTTCATTCAGGAGAAGATTCCTAACATCACTTTATGTTAAATAATGATTATAATGGTTTCCAGATGTCTCCATAAACACTCAGTTTGCCTTTAAAAGCATGTTATTCTTCCACTTCCAAACACAGTGCCATAATTCTTACCCAGTCACCAATATTAGGCCTGTATATTCAGTGTTAGTTAGTTAGTGTTCTCTGACAACTTAAAAGAAGGGAAGACATTTAGATTTGTGCGTCTATTATCTTTTTTCTTTTTCTGTCTGATGCTTTACTGTCACACTGTGAGGACATTTTATTACTGCAGAGGAAGTAGGGAAATAACCTCTGCCAGCGAGGAAGAGGTTATTGTATTTCCACTGGTGATGTACTATCCATTTGTGACTAAAGACCTATGTGAAGTTCACGCTGGGCTGTTTGTTGTCCTGAAACATCCTGGAAGGGAAGATTGGAGCGCCATTACAGTAAGATAACTTCAATTTACATGCAAATGTATTAAATAACTGAAAGCATTAGACCTCATCAACAAGCTACTTCAAGGTTAAACATTTGATTTTGTGTAATTGGAAGAAAATGTATTTTGTCAGTTCAATAAATAAAGACTCTACTATATAGTGTGCTGGACAGTAGCACAGCCATGAATAATATTGAAAACATAAAGGAAAATGTTTAATCTTCCACAATATTGTGTCGTCTATACATATTGTATCTTTCAGGCAACACCACACAAGTACACTGATATAGTCCAGATAGTGATATTGTTCTTTTTTAAACACTTCTTTGGAATCAAAGCTCTTGTCATGATAAGCATTTACTTTCCTAAAACGTCCACAATTTATAGTCACTTATAATAAAATGAAAATCCCACTGCACGGTTTTCACATCAGACTACAGTCAAATAGATCTCATTTCAAAGAGTTTCTGACTGGTATTAAAGAAACCTCATCCTTCTTATCAGTTTCTGTTTTGAAAGTGGGAGGTTTACCATAATTTGCCCCTACTTTTGACAGCTTTGGGGATTGGCTGCAAGATCAGCAGGTCTGGTTCTACCTCAGCAAAAACATCGTCTAAGCACTTCTTTAAAGATTTAAGAACGATCTGCTTAAAGTCAGACTCTTAAACTTTAAAAGTGTGTCCTTCACTCAAAATTCTCTAAAGAATTTGTATACATTTTGTGCAAAACATTAAATTGGATTATATCAGAAACAAAAATACCAGTGTGGTGGTGTAGACAATGTGACCATGACATTTCTGAGCCTCAGAGTAATACATACTTGACATTGAATACAAATCCTTTAACGTTAGTCACACATTGATCCTCACCCAAATCTTAATATATTAACGAGGTCAGAAGGCATCAGTGTTATTTATAATGTGTATATATGCACCCACGCTCCCAGAACAATGCACCCAGTGTGCTCAGTGGCACATGAAGCAAAACAGCGGCTTCCTGCTTTTTTAAAAATTCAAAGATGACCCGGATGAATGCATATGTCCATACATATGAGCTTGTGCGCCTTCCATTAACATGAATGGGAATAACACGGTTAAATTGTGCCGCTCTTCTAGACTTACAAAACGTTATTGGACTGAATGGATCAAATTCTGATCTGAGTCACATATTGATATGTATAAGTGACCCCCTGTTTTGCAGTCGCTTCTTTCACAATATAACCTCATGGGGAAAAGTATTTTTGCGCCAGTGTGCATCATGTGATGGATGCCATTTCTGGAATTACACAGTTTGGCCACTATGTCAAACTAGCTTCAAAGCCTGATGTCTTTCCTGGGGCTTTTTTGTTTTTTAACTTTTATTACCAACACCCACAATGCTGTTATTTTTCCGTCGCTGAGCTAGCAAAGCTCCAACGACAGGACTTAAGAGAAATGTTAAGGGAATGCACGTTTTGTGATTTGCACTTGCATGTCCACCTTATTGTGTACTGCATCACTCGTGGAAAGAATTAAGCTTGCAGAATACGACTGAATGATGCGCATCAGAGGAGATTTAGAAGTGAGTATTCTCAATGCAGACTGAAAAATAAGTTAGAGCAGAGCAGCCAGAGGAAGAGCAGAATCTAGTTTCAGTGAATAAAGTTTTTTTTTGTACAGTACTCAGTGAGGCCTGGCCCCCAGAAACACCTAAAACCGGCGGCGTCTATCGTCGCAGTGCTCATTAGCACTAGGTGCTGCCCTTTAGCAGGCCTCTGGAAGTTGGCCAATCAGAATAAAGTGTTCTAATGCAAAACTCTTCTAGTGGAGTGCCAGAATAAAATTATAAAGCTGGAAATTAGCATTATAGGTATCCTTTAATGGGAACAGATTCAGTGGTGCCTGACCATGACACTGCAATTTTACTGCTCTGACAGACGGAGTGATTAATTACTACATCAAACAGGAATTCTAATCAACTGTAGCTGGCAGAGAGAAAGGCCTTAGAAGTGGGACCCATCCACACTCGATTCTGCTGGGAGATTAATTTGCAGCAGTTCACATAGCCTCAGCAACTTTCCCCAACCTCTATGGTGTCATTCATAAAAATGATCTTCTCATTTACTCTCACACCTGCCACCTCATCGCTTTCGGCACATATCTCTGCATGTACAGTAGAGGCTGTGGCATTAAAGTGATGACTACAGCCTCATGTATCATTGTGATTATATACATGGGTTTTTAATAGGGAAATTTGATATTTTTAGCCATGTTAGCAGTGTGGCAGATGGAAAAGTCAGTCAGTCTGGTCGATCCCCCACTTTTGGACTCTTAGATGCATTATAATGAAATTTGGTGACATTCATGTTCCCCTGAGGACGAAGCCTCATGAGGTTTGTACATACACACATACATGCATATATACATACAGTATGTACACATTGTTTGGACATTCATGGCCCTTGCATGATGAATTGTAATCACTTTGGTTATACAAGACTGCTCTTTCTGTAGCTCTGTTTCTCACCAAATCGAACTGACATCTCTATTGTTAACACAAGAAAAACAAACAGTTCTGACTCTTCAAATGTTCATTTATTTTTTCTAGTAAAGTACATCAAAACACTTCACAAACATACTTTTGTACAATTGTTTTGCATTAGAATTCAAAATAATGATATTATTATTAACCGATCATTTATTGGCTGTATTTGTGTATTTAATAATCCTGATAATTCATAATAATATAAATGTAATTTCTCTGTCCCGATATTTATCGTGCATCCCTATTGGCATCATGTTATTACTTTGATTATGACAGTCAGACCTTTGATTTGAGGTGAAAATATTTCAGTGCTGAAGCGCTTCAGCAGCCACAATTTTTGTACTGTCCCTTTAAGAAATACCATCATGTTGACCTAATAGTGAGGATTTGCTTTGTAAAATTCAGGCCTTAACATCCATAGTTTCTTCTCAAGAGAGAGCTGAGTGACACAGTGACATTCATTTAGCTTATTCCATCATGACTGCTTCCTCAGAAAAGTGGGGATCTTTAATGAAATCCCAGCAGGGTGGTGATTGTAAACGCTCCCTCTGGTTGGCTCGCAGCACTTGCCTGAGTCCTTTAGCCTCTCAGTGGTAGTACATGACATTTAATTCTAATTACACTAATTACGATCTGAATCAGCTGAGGGAAAAGAAAGACCCACAGCACAAGTTCATCAGGTTTTATTAGATGTCTGGCATCAAGTGATATCTGTTGATAAGATAAGAGATGATGGTAGTAGCTCTTATGTTATCATGCTTTTAAAAAGAGAATTGGTACTATATAATAATACACCGCCGCAAAATACAAATCAATGCACAGGAGATCATTAATTTGACTCCTGGTTTCTTACTGTTTGAGGATTTCTGAGTAGCTCATGTGGATGAGGTGGCTAATGAGTCCCAGATCCGTTAGCTGATGGTTAAACATTTACGATTAGACTTTTCAAGGCACGTTAAGTTTCATTGTTCAATCTGTGCCCAGGAAAAATACATGAAGTGTTCTCTTCCATGCTGTCTTCTCACTACAAAGTTGTAGCACATTGTGTATATCAATATGCACGCAGGGAGTATGACACACCTTTATTTTCGAAGCCAGTCAACCATGCAGCACAGGGCTTTAAACTGCACTTAAATTGATCCTCTCCTTCAAAAGACCTCTGCACTTTATTCAGATTTGTTTAGGCATGTGGGTGCTGATATGAGCCCCAGTAAGCAAGATTGAATGGATTGCCTTAATATTGTCTGTTGAGAAATAGTTTAGTCTAGAATATAGTTTGATAACAGACACGCTTAAACATACTTGTGCTTTATTCAAGATACTTGAGGGCAGAGACTCAAAAGATGATCTTATGGTAGTTTTCATATTTGTATGAATAGTATAAACTCTGACAGGATTGTTTCTCTTTCTGAGGAAATCTTTACAGTGCATTTTTGCAGCAAAAAATACAATTGAATGACCTCCACTGATTATACCATTAGGAGTAAATGTGTTTGTTTGTGGTTTGTGGATGAACTGACATTTAAATTGAACTTTCAAGACTCTCATTAATTTGTATTGTTTGTTAAGTTACATTTTAATGAAAATGAACTTCTCTGAGCCTTTTGCTTACCACTAGACTGGAAATCATTTGTTAATTTTCTACAGGAAGCCACTGTGCAGTTCTGGTGAAATTGTTGGTCAGGATTGACGCTGCACAAACAGTGAGATCAGGTCAAGTTTCCCATGCTGTGCTCGGGCCACTGGAGCTAAATACAACATGTTTGAAATCAAAGTAATAAATAAATAAATCTCGATTTCTTTATGGACCCTAACAAGTGCAGTTAAAGCCTCGGTTCTGGCTGGTTAACAATGTCAAAATAGATTTACTGCCTATTGCGTGAATGCTACATTTTTTCAGCTATGACGCTGATTTCCACACATAGAGCAACTCTGCATTGAAGTGCAGCTCAAACCTTTTAATAGAGCCAATTTTAGCCCCAACTTATTATTATTTTACGCATTTTCCCTTGTTGCTATGGCAAAGCGCCGGGGAAAAAGGAGAAGAGCTGCTCATGGTTGTCTTGGATACAACAGTTTTCCCTTGTAAAGTAATGAGAGGAGCTGAACCTGTGGGAGCACAGGGTTATTTTTAGGCCTGACGCCAGCCTGCATGTGTGGATTAAGACTTGTTTGGTCGCTGGTGCGTGTTTGTGCATGCGTATATATGTGTGTGTGTGAGAGAGCATGTTTACAGACTTTAATGCAGCCTCACTGTGGGAACAGCTCAAGGCATTTCACATTTGGCACACCTGGACCACCTCTAGTGTCATTGCTCCAGGCCAAAATGTGCTGGAAGATGCAATTTCAAAAAAATTACATCAATGGATGCAGGCTTTATTTGTAGTTGGATGCTTTATATGTCTGCAAGTACTACCTTGAACTACCTTGAAGGAAACAGATGCTTCCCCCAGCCACTACCGGGGATCCTTGCTGGTAGAAAAATATGTGTGATCAAATAATTTACAGCACATTGGTTTCATGCGAGGCTGAAGGATTGCAGACCTCATAGACAAAATCCTTCAAGAGCAGAGGAAATGAAATCCCCAATGAATAGTGGAAGTACTAGGAAGAGACCGCCCAATCTCATTTTGAAAGAAAATATTTTAAAAGTGGCTCTAGCGTTTATTCCCTGGAATTGTAGGGATATTTTAAGGCACCAAAGCCTTAACCTTTGTCCTCGTTACTGGTTATATAAGACAGGTGATGCAGCAATCTAAATGTGTTATGCTCGGAGGGGTTCTTTGGTAAGGAGCATCAAAAATGTCTGTAATCATAGATCTGTGTGCATGCACGAAAACACACACACAAAACACACCCAGCTGGCCTCTTGTTTTAATAGACTGACAGTGCTGAGATGATAGCAGGTCTGCTAATGTGATGTCATGGCAGCTGTGCTACTGAGCTGCTCTCTTCCTGCAATACAACAAGGGTGAGTGTGCGCTACTGTGTTTGTGTGTGTGAGTGTGTGTGTGAGTGACTTTACAGTTTACAGACTGACCCAAAACTTGCACAGCTGTATCAAAAAGACAATGAGTGGGGAAATGCCAGTTTTGACCTCACCGAAGGATCACTTCAGAACTTCAACATTAGTCTTAATGGTATTATTACGGACAACTATTTAATACTTTTGTAGGGATTTATCACTGGTTACAGCTCTTAGTAGACATCAAGGGTGTTCTGCAGGAAAATGCGACCAATTACCAGGAAAATGCCACTGCTGATGACTGCACCGTCATTAGATCTTGGCCAATTATTCCCCCATCAATAATATAAAATAAGAAACCAGGGAGACTGGCAGTGTGAGAGCACAGAGAATATCCTGCCCACCCCCAAAACCCCCATCCTCCCAACCCCTCCACTGTTTCAGTCCAGCTCCAGCACGGCCAAGCTCTGCTGCAATCGGCTTTGACTTCTTAGTGGCCGTGTGGTCTCTGCATACCTTTAACAAGCTCTGTCATTTCACAGTGCAAACACGGGATGCCACGGATAAGCCTGGGGGACTGGTATGCGGTATTATGAACCTGATCCGCACAGATCTGAGTTTTGCAAGAGCACTCGGTCCTTCAGCATCTTAGTATGTGCTTCAGTGTCACGCCAGTAGAATCTGTTACAGTGGTTAATCAAGTTGTCCCAGTAATGATGCAGGAGGCCTTCCTTGGCTTGCCTCTGTCCCAAGATATACTGTATTTTTAAGTATTTTTATGTCGACCTTAAATACTCAAACGTACCTCCTCACAGCCCTCAAAGAAATACACCAATCTAAGTACAGCCACTTGTATGTCCACACAGACACACAGACACACACACAGTCCTGCCCTAATTTCAATTGAATCAAGTAAAAACTGTGAAATAAAACCATTTAATTCAAAGATGAAAGGAAAAAATGAACAATTACTAATCCCCAAAAAACATAATGAAGTCACCTACACTGTTGGAAATGTGACAGCTTTTCTATATGAGTCAGTTACACTGAGTTCAAGTGGTAATATTCCAAATTTGATATGACATGTATGTGGGTTAAGAGAAGTAGATTTATTACATAAGGCAAAAAGAGGGAGTTAAATATAGAAGACCAGAAAGCATGGACAGGATCAAAACATATAGCCAAATAAACTAGGTTATTGCAGGGAGTAATGGACAATGGATAATAGATTAATGGAAGGATACATTTAACCTAATCTGTCATTAGAGTAATGAAGTCCAATGAAAAGCAATAATACAGCTTTCCCAGATCTCTTTCAGAATTTCAGACCCAACGCACCCCCAGGCTTCACTCATTTTGGTGGATCAATAGTTTTGGATTAAAATTGAAATATTCCCCTTTTCCAGTGTGTCGACATTTAATAGTTTATAAGATGAATCTTTAACTGGTGCCCTGGGATGTGTTGAAGTGCTCAGACACAAAAAATGCTAGATAGATCTGGGAATTGTTCGATCTCTGCACAGAGAATCAAATGAATAATATTGCATACCATTGGTCTTGAAGACATCTTCATATATGTGTTTATTGACAACTTAGAAAAATTAATAATAGACTTATAAAAATATATTTCTTAATAAAATAAAATATCACCCGGTTAGCCAGTTTAGAAATATAAGCTGCTCCAGTAGTAAAAGAGAAAAGTGATTGCATCTGAAGGAAGAAGACACACGCACACGTTCACACACAGTGACTCTGTGGTTACATCTCTGGGTTTTGGTCACCACAGCACTGGTTCCACCATGGATAGCTATTGTCATGGCAACCAGGAATTAGCATCCTTGGATACCACAGTCTGGTCCTCATCAGCTGCGCTCTTTTCTTCCTCACCATTGTTCTTGTTTGATCTCTCCCTCTCACCCACTTTCTCCCTCTCTCTCTCTCTGACCCCCCACCTCGTGTTTCCACAGAGCCTTCCTGCTTGACAGTTCTCTCCTCAACCGTCTTCTTTTTTTTCTTCTGTCTTTTTCTCCTCGCCCTCCTGACTATTGATTCTGTTTATGTTCCCCACACCCCCTCCTTAAGTCCTAATTGCTATTCACTGCGTGTGTTTCACAGATTCCACACATCACCTGATATGCTGGTTTTGAATCTCAGGACAACAGATACTCAGTCTCCCCGTCTTCTGTCTGTGATGCTTTTTTTTCCTGCTGCCAGATGTTAAATGGATCAATTAGAATCAATAGAGATCCTCACTAAGCCAATGTTAGCTGGCCTGCCCACTCACTCACCCACCTGCTCACTTAATCTTTCCAACTGTTGCTAATAGTACTCCCCGCGGACATGACGACTGAAACTGTTTGGGTGTTACCAGAGCAACTGATTCTATTCTATTTATAGATATTAACAAAGTTAGATTGTCATGTGTGGGAGCTTGTTAAGACAATTTAGGAATGAGCTGTATGTAAGTCCATTGACAGTGATTATGACAGAAAAGGATTTGTTTTCTTTGTCAGGGCTTATCCCTGTGTGTTGAATTTAAAAGGGTCACAATAACACAGTTTGGAGCTATAAAAACTGTGAAAAAGCTAAGAATATGTATGCAAAAGATGTATTTGGATCTGTGTAAAATAGTCATGGTATCTGCTCTTTATAGAACTTCTATAAAGAGCTTCTACCCTCCTTCCCTTGTTTCAACCTTAATTCTGCCTCACTGGTCTGACAACCAAGGATATTGCATTCATATTCACAATCAATACCTCATTAGTGTTTTCAATGCATCTCCCTTCTTTCTTTTTCTACTCTTTTATTGTAGTTGACCTAACAAGTTTTGTGGAGGATACTGGGAGGAACCAATTTTCAAAATGCCCGTGGCAACATCCAGCTCTGACTCCGGTAAGTGGCTTGGTTTTGCTATGATGATCTCTCTGTGTGTGTGTGTGTGTGTGTGTGTCAGTGAGCGAGAGAGATATTGAGAAAGAGAGAGGAAGGAGGAGATACTGAGCGGTTCATGGTTATTCTGGCTCTCAGGACATGTATCTCATCTCCCGAGTTCTAATGTGACTTAATGAGCTGGCTAATGGAGCGCTAAAACTCCAGCCTTAGATCAGTCATGCCTCGAAGGATTTGCTGTTGTATCCTTTGCAGCCCTCCACTTGTGGACAGTGCACGTCCAATCTGCACTTGCATGTACGGTCATGCACATTTTTCTTTGGAGACATTAAGTGAGTGTTTTATTATAGATTGATGATTGATCAATGATGACTGAAAGCCAGAAGGTTAAGTGATTTGCAATCACTTTTTGAATATTTCTTTTTTTGAATATATGGATGTTTATTTGAAAAGGTTGATTATTTTCTATGAAATTGATTTAAATTGATTGTGTTTTTCATGTTAAAGGTCCAATGTGTATAATTGAATGGCATCTAGTGGTGCAGTTGCAGATTACAATCACCTCCCCTCAAGAAAAACGCAAAAGGCCCTGTCTAGAGCCAGTGTTTGGTTTGTCTGTTGTGGGCTACTGTAGAAACGTCCTATATAGATAAAAACAGCTCATTCTAAGGTAACAAAAACACAACTCTTATTTTCAGGTGATTCTACACGAATGAAAACATACCTATGAATATTATATTCCATTTCTGCCAATAGGTCCTCCTAAATTTTACACACCTTTAAAAGACAGTTTAGTACTACTTAAGGCTGCTGTGAAAGATTAAAAAACATGGAAACTGCTCTGAACAGTGCACCATGTCCTGCACTGGATCCCAGGCCATCTAAACTGGTTTATGAAACTGATTGAAATTATGTGACTATTTTTGCTGAACAGAAAATGTATTACTCCCTCGTACAGAAGTTTCCACAGAATTGCTAGAAGTTAAATTTGGCGTCACATTGATTGTCTCTTTCCATGCATTTCCTCTTCACTCAGTGCTGAGGGCACTTGATCTAGACACATAAAACATTGAATAGCCATGGCCAGATGTCTGGGAAATTAAGAGTCTCAGTTTATTGGCAACAACCAAATCTAGAACTCAAAGCTTTTTAGTATTTTACCGTGTGGTAATAAATTGCAGCAGTCAGCTAGCGGATAGAGGGAGAAAAGCAGTTCCACAGAGAGTTAAAATGTGTGTGTAGTTTCTTTTTTGTAATGGGCTGTCAGTCAGTCTTGATTTGTACACTAGCTGA